TGGCAATTTTTCTGCGAGATAATTCAAAGCATCTGGATTCATGGTAAATGTTTGATTTAATTAAACAAAAATTATCTTTTCAAACAATCAAAGTTTGAAATATCAAAGGTCTACATAATTTGGTTGTAGATATATAGGTATTAGAAAATTGGGATTTGTTGCAAAGACTCAATTCCTTTCTAGAACCAATTTAAGTGAGGAAAGTCTGTGATTGGTTCATTTTACTAATGTTTTGTTGTTTTTGTTTACTGTTTGGGAAGGAAAAAAAGTAGGATGAAAGGATGAATGAATGAATGAATGAATGAATGAATGAATATCAGACTACACGAATTGTACAAAAAACATTTTGTCTGTAATAAATGACAATTTTCTTGGCATGAAAGCTTGGCCAAGGCTAATAACAACTTTTACCCTTTTCTTTGCAGACTTATATGATATCATGTATCCTCATGTTTTCATCCTGTATCCTGCATCCAATTAAATGTATCCTGTTAACTCTATCCTCCATGTATCATGTATCCCATAGTATGTATTTATTCTGTATCCCATGCTTGCATTGTCTTTATTGTCTTCCATCTATAATGTTCTGTATCTTGGGTGTAACCTGTATCCTGCTTTTAATATTTGTTTATTCTTTGTGCGTTTTCCTTGACCTATATCACAATAAATGTATCCTAGCTATCCCATGTATATTTGTTTGTTTCTTATATACTGTAACGTGTATCCTATATATAATGTATCCATTCAGTTAATTGTGTATCCTATGTCCTGTTCGCTAGTTTTATATCCTGTGTCCTGTTAGCTAGTTGTGTATCCTATGTCCTGTTAGCTAGCTGTGTATCCTTTGTCCTATAAGCTAATTGTGTATTCTATGTCCTGTTAGCTAGTTGTGTATCCTATGTCCTATAAGCTAATTGTGTATTCTATGTCCTGGTAGCTAGCTGTGTATCCTATGTCCTGTTAGCTAATTGTGTATTCTATGTCCTATAAGCTATTTGTGTATTCTAAGTCCTGTTAGCTAGTTGTGTATCCTATGTCCTATAAGTGAATTGTGTATGATATGTCCTGTTAGCTAGTTGTGTATCCTATGTCCTGTTAGCTAGCTGTGTATCCTATGTCCTGTTAGCTAGCTGTGTATCCTATTTCCTGTTAGCTAATTGTGTATTCTATGTCCTATAAGCTAATTGTGTATTCTATGTACTGTTAGCTAGTTGTGTATCCTATGTCCTGTACGTTAATTGTGTATCCTATTCCTGTTAGCTAGTTGTGTATCCTATGTCCTGTTAGTTAGCTATGTGTATCCTGTATCTTGTATTCTGTATCTAAAGGTATGTTGTTTTTACTTCGCTACATTTAACAATTTCCACACTGCAAGATTCAACTGTCAATCTTGAAGGGTGTCTCGAAATAATAATTGTAAAAAATTAAAAATGCTTAAATTGGATGGAAACATTATCTATTGTTTCTTACTAAATTATAACAATAATAAAAAACACACGCGGTTATAAATTAAATTTCTTTTTTGGAACAACTTACATCTTCGAGTGTGCTGTATCATCCTGTTTTCCTAGGGATCAAGGTATTTAAAGAGATAGTTTTAAAAAGTACATTTTAATAAGAATTTATTCATAGCATTTCTTATTTCAAGTTAGATTTCCCATTGTATGCTAAGTATATGCTTATTGATTAGGATTTCGAGCAAACAAAAACTTTTGCGAAAAAATATTTTCTTTCGTATATTGCTCACTTTTTCGCGAGATTTTGCATTTGTTCGCAAAAATTAATTTATAAAACAAAAAAACTAACTATGTGTGTCCAACTTTTTTCTTTTCTTTCAAAAAATTTTGCATGCTTCTGTTTCGTGAAAGTATGGAAAATTTTTGCAAACATGATGTTACGCGAGCCATGCTGCGTGAAGAAAGTCTGTTTGTCGCCCCTGCGTATTTCTGAGTTTCTCCTGAAGATCTGTACGGAATGTATTGTGAAAAAAACTAGTTTAGGAACTGTTTACAGTCCGACTGCGCAGACGCAAGATTTCTCGCGGAGTAGTAGTTATATTTATATTCAGTATATGTTTATTCGTTTTGCAAGTATTTTCCGTGTTCAGAATTCTGGGATCACCGTGGTAATTATTTTATATATATCTATGTTTATTGGTTGATTCTAGTATGATTGATGATTATGTATTCGTTTATTGGTTCCTAGCCACAGTTTTTTAATGCCTGAGTGGATTATTTGTTATATTTGTATGATTTTCACTCAAAGCTTTTTCTGTGGGTTTATTAAACTTGTTTAGATTGAAGGCTCAGAGAAATAAACGTTCGGAACCTTACTATCTTCCTTTTTATTATGAAGAGCGTTGAGAGAAGGGAGTCTTACGATCCAATCCTGAGAAATACCACACGGTACATATATTAGGTCTTTAGGGAAATCGCTAAGTAGCGAAACACATGAAATACGAAAAACCTAAAATTTTCTGTGATTTTTTTGTTGCGAAATTTTTAAAACTACTTCCCCTTTTCTCTTGATGTTTACAAGTATAGTTTATTAGAAGTTGAGCTCTTAAATACTCATATTTCACAGCTCAATCTAAATTCAGCTTTGATCATGCTTAACTGATTGATTGATGGGTGGGTACAGGCAAATATTTTAGGCCTCAATAATTATTCTTAAAAAATCATCAACAAGCGTGAATTAAAACCAAAGTCAGAAAAGAATGTTGAATTGAATAAAAACTATTTTGAATTGGAAATTTATTCTTTTGAATTGAAAATTTGAGAATATTTTAGTTCAAAGTTTAGACTGGAATTTTGTTTTAAACGAGAACTCAATATAAAAAATTCTTTAATGAAAACTCTTTGATATCTTAATCTTGCTCTCCCACCTATATGATAGAACAATTCGTTGTTGTAGGGTTGAAGGAAGACCATATGGGAGGGGCTAATATTATATTTTGCTAAATAAACAAAATAACTCAATATTTGCAAATATTTGGCATGCAAACTTTGATCTGTTTTTGCAAATAAAAAACCGAGGGTGGTATGGTGCAGACCACATGTAGAAAATATGAAATGCTTAACTCATGCATGGATATAGAAAGATGAATTATACACAATAGGAAGATAAGGAAATAAAACAGTAACGAATCTGATTTAAAAATATGATAAAAGGAAACAGATTAAATACTGGAAAATAAGAAATAGATAATTAGGCAAATTAAAAAAAATGTTAAATATAAGATAGAAAAGTTTATCACAATTTTACTATTTAGATAGATATTTAAATAGATGGAGAGATGACATCAGATAGATAAATAGATAGTTGAGTACTACAGGGGAAAATGTCAGTACGAATTAAAATGCATTATTTAAAAGAATTGAACTGAGAACTTAAAACTGTTAAGTATGAAGTATTTATATTCAGGTCAACAAACTTAATTTTGTGTTGCGGCATTCAGATTTAGTTCCTTAATTATCTATCTATCTATCTATCCTTTCCTAGAACTACCTATCTATTTTTCAATCCATCTAGCTATATTTGTTTCTTTTAATTCAGCTATTTATCTCTTTATATAGCTATTTATCTCTTTATATAACTATTTATCTCTTTACATAGATATTTATCTCTTTATATAGCTATTTATCTATCTATTCTATATAGCAATTTATCTCCTTATATAGCTATTTATCTATCTATATATCAATTTTATTTCATTTGATCCAGTAAGCTGTTTTTTATTTAGCTAGCTATTTAACTATTCATTTATGCATAATGGTATTAGCCAAACAGTACAGATGCATTTTTGTTTCAAATGTAAATCAATTTCTACAAGAATATAAATAAACTAGAAATTCAAGACGCTTCGCGCCCACCTTCTATTTAAATTGTGAACATGTCCTCTTTGTTTACATTTTAAAACAAAGAAGAAAAAATTTTGCGGATTTTTAAAAAAAAAGTCGCGGATTTTCAAGAATTAAATTTTTTTTTACAAAATTAAAAACCTTTAAAACACATTTTTTAATTTTTATTATTCATAAACCTTCCCTGTGGTCACATGATGTCCCACAAAAAATTTGGGCCCGATCGGTTCAGCCGTTTTGACGTTTATTGGGTACAAACAAACAGACAAACAGACCAGCCAAATTTATATATAGATACAGGATTTATAAAACATTGGGACAGATTGGTTTACTTCATGTATTTATCACGATTCAGAATCATAAAATCGTTTTAGTTGATGAAATGCACAATCAAGGGGGGGGGTAATTTAGATTTTTTTAATGGCTTCTTATCAACTTATTTTCATATATATCTTTCTATCTTCTTATCTAATTGAATATAATGGAAGCTATAGTATTAAGCAATTAAAGCATTGATTTAAACCCTTTAAAAGGATTACACCCATGCTTGAACATACAGTGGAGAATTAAACAATCAGATAATCCTAGTTTTCCATTTATTTACCCCCTCCTCTTTTCTCCCTTTCTTCGTTCTCTCTGTTTCTGTACCCCCCCCAGACTTCTCCCCCCCTCACCTTTCCCTCCCACCCCCTTTTCCCTCTACAATATTGAAATATCTGCACTAAGGAAGCTGTCGTGACAATTAGTAGTATTATCCACTTCTATAATCTTTACACTGAGGGGAGGGGGGGGGACCTTGAGGTCTGCATGTAGGGTTAAGAGGTTGATCTAATAAAAAATAAATGTAACTCTGAAACAATATAAGTAGATACTTAAATGTTAATTTTTACAATTTCTAAATTAAGAAGTTTTTTTTTCTCCTTAATTTAGGTTTCTTTTGTACGTATTTATATGTAATCTGAGGTTATATATAAAACGGGCTTGCATAACAGGTTTGGTTTCGAAAACAAAGTTTTTATTTCATAAATAAAGGTTTTGTTTGTAAATAAAGGTTTAGTTTGTAAATAAAGGTTTTGTTTGTAAATTAAGGTTTAGCTTGTAAATAAAGGTTTAGTTTGTAAATAAAGGTTTAAATAATACTCCTAGCTGAGCGAGCTGAGCAGCTAGTGCTTGCTGGACAGCAGAGTATGACCTCCAGTTGTAACGCTAGTAACGAGGAAGACGACCCTTATGATTCTGACGTTCACAGTAAAATAACTGCACGCGATAACCTCAAGCGGACAAGCATTGTTCAACGCGGGGAGTGTAAACGACGAAATTCAATCACTAGTCAGGTATAAGCTGGGAATATTAGGAATTCAATCATTAGTCAGGTATAAGCTGGGAATATTAGGAATTCAATCATTAGTCAGGTATAAGCTGGGAATATTAGGAATGCAATCATTAGTCAGGTATAAGTTGGGAATATTAGGAATGCAATCATTAGTCAGGTATAAGCTGGGAATATTAGGAATGCAATCATTAGTCAGGTATAAGCTGGGAATATTAGGAATTCAATCATTAGTCCGGTATAAGCTGGGAATATTAGGAATTCAATCATTAGTCAGGTATAAGCTGGGAATATTAGGAATGCAATCATTAATCAGGTATAAGCTGGGAATATTAGAAATTCAATCATTAGTCAGGTATAAGCTGGGAATATTAGGAATTCAATCATTAATCAGGTATAAGCTGGGAATATTAGGAATTTAATCATTAATCAGGTATAAGCTGGGAATATTAGGAGAGACGCAAGCTAAATGAATCTGGGCGAAAGCTCTTCAATATATTGAACTAACCAAAATAATCAATTCTAGCTAATAATTGTTTATACAGGGTTACCCACAAAAGGATGAGACGGCAAAGACGACCTAAAACTTTGAATATATATAAGGGAAAAAACAGTTTAAATTCCGTACAGTCGTCTATGAAGTCTCATCACCCTTTGAGTGTAAACCTGTACATGGACAATTTTGGCAAACTATTTTATAGAGAATGAAAGATCTGGGACACCTTAACTTTGGTTCGTGTGGGTCTATGGATATCTCTAGTCCAGACAGCCTGATATCCAGTCCGACAATATCCAGTCCATCCATATCCATATCCAACACAAGTGTATCCAGCCTACAGGGATCTCTTTATTCAGAAGGAAATAACATTATCTATTTATTTGATACTAACTGCAGTGTCCGGCGTTGCCCGTGTAATTTTAAAAACGCTTTTTTAAGATTTTGAAGAAAAAACTTTGAATTCGATTTTTTTAGCTTATGTCACCCCCCCCCCCCC